CCCACCCCGGTGCTCTCTCCCACCATCCTCAATAAAACTGTCCCTGCATGACAGCACGTCTTGTCTGGTTTTCTTTGCAAGTCTAGCGGAAAGGCATCACTCTGCAGGGCCTCGTTCAGTTCTTGGGGTATCCTGTGGTATTTTCCAATAGTTGCTATTTTTCGGTCGCGAGTCTATGAGCATCGACAAAGTGGTTGTCGAACCCAGTCCAACTCTTCGTTCCCACAACTGTCCTTTTCAGCGTGATTCGGTCATTCACGTTTGCGGTCGCAATCAGCAAGAGTGGGGGGACGAGTGCGCAGTGGGAATGCTTGCCAAGGCCCGGCTTCACGCCTGCCCTCTGTTCCTGGCCTCTCATGCATGCAAGCTGCAAGTTTAGAGCTGCAGACCACAGTGGGAGGGCCAGGGATGAAACGGCAGAAGCTTCATTAGCCCACGAACATGCTCCACCAAGGAGATTTAACCAGGCATGCGCACGATGGGACAGGAAGGAGGAGGCACAGCTGTGGCATTTCCCCAGCCGCACTTTCCATGTACATGCGTGTAGCATCACCTGGGAGAAATCAGAGGCACATGTGAATCTACCTCAGACCAGTTGACACTGTCCGTCAATTGCTGCTGGAACAGCCACCACTGCCTCCCTGGGACGCCCAAGACCTACAGAAACTCCCAGCATTCATGCTGGGACAATCTCCATGCACGGTGCATGACATCCCACTCACTGATGGCCCTCCTCCCAAAATGAATAGGCAAGTCGCTGAAAAAAATCTTTCCTGAAGCATCACATATATAATCTTATTCCTCTGCCCAAATTGAGAAACTCTGGACAAGCTGCCAAGAGGACTGAATCCCCCGCCTGTGGATTAAGGCACAGCAGACCCCCGAGGAGCAAGATCGGCACAGAGGGATCCCTTCCCGTGCATTTCATTGCAGTTCGGTGTATCAGCTGGGTCCCTACCTATGTTGGATCAGATTCGTTCAGTGTTTCTACCAACGTTGCTCCAGCCTTCTTTATTGCTGCCAACTCCCGAGGTGCTGAAGTTGCTGCCATTTGAGCCACAGGAGGCAGGAACTTCCCTGAAGGTGGAGCTCACACCTTTTGGCTCTTGGCACGGGAGAGGAGTATGCAACTGGGGGGCAACTATTACGCCATAGTTCTCCTTTCTCCTCTAGGAACGATTCTTGCTGTCCTGCAAGCCATGTGTTCACGACATCTGCAATGCTGCGTTCGTGTTAAAAACGACAGCTTTCCCATACCGGTGCGGCTTTAACATGTTAGAGACCCAAGCCAGCGGCAATGACAGGCAAGGCTGCACATATCTGGGCAAAGACTCTCCCATGGGGAGGGAAGGGTGATGAGCATTGCCTAAACTCACTGGGACGCTCCAAACTTCACCTCGCCAGGTGCCTTTCCCCTTCCTCCCATTTGGACATTCCACTCCTGCTTGTTTCGCATGACTGGCAAACTGCAGAAGAGTCAGTGATCGAGCAGGGCCTTTTCACAACTCTACACCCACCTGAAGGGATCTTGCCAAATGAGCTCAAATGTGGGCACCTCCCCTCCTGGGAAAGCTCCTGAGCTGATTCTCACTGCTCA